AGCTTTTACATCCTACAGTTTAAGAGGAATAAGCATAGCTATCTGGTCTATTACAGATTTATTCTTTCATAGGAGGTACTAAATTAAACAAATAGCTGTCTCACTTCTAACTTCTTCATAAAGTCTGGATCATAACACTTGATTTCAGACTTCATAAGTAGTGCTTTACATTTTGAACTTCTATCCAGGGAATGCTTTGCAACATTCAAAAATCAACACAATAAGTTTTACTTTTAAAATTCACCATCCTGAATTTTATTTTAATAAAGGTATCAAACTTTGATACTTACTGCACACCTAAAGAGTTGTATCAATCAGAAAACTTCAAATATCATCTATCACTTGCAGCAGATCAACTTTGGAGGGCAATAGTGAATCACATACCACTGTAAAAGTGGTCTTTAAAATCATCTTAAACATATACCACTTATGCAATTCTAATTCTAGGATTATCTCCTGCCTGAAGACTCAAGTTTCTATAGCCACAAAAGTAAAATTTGTGATAGACAGCTAGTATCTTATTCTTGGACAATACACTCTTATTCAGGCTTGCAAATTAAAAAAAAATCAATAGATCTCTACTTCAAGGCCAGTCCTGAAACAGGGATGAGTTCACAATTAAATCTGTTACTTAGCACAGCTGACATGATCACGTACTAAAGATTCAAACAAATACAACCCTTATTCCTGAGGAGATTTGTTCAGCTTAGGCATTTTTGCTTGGCTTATTAGAATCTTTAGAGAGTTTAGCTCCTCCTCCCCTAATGAGTTGAGAGAGTTCTGTAATAATCTTCCTGCAAAAATAAAGGTTTATTTCTCCTAGGCAGCAAACATAATTTCTACTACTGCACAGCTGTCTCAGAGGAGCTCCAAGGGGCTGACTGCTCCATCTCATTTCTGGAACAGCTGCACCATATGGTGCTGTGCAGAACCCTGCAAGTTGAATAACTCCATTTCTGAAGGTCTCCTCACACTCTTCTGCAATGAGTCTTGATAGCAAAAATTTTTTTAAGTTGAAGAAGAGCACACATTACAGTGATTATTGCTATTGTACACACCGTACAGTAAAGATGTCAGGCAGACTATCTTTTTCCAAGCGAATCTTTTTCGCATAGGTGTGGTTATAATTGCAAAGATGTTTGTTAATTAAACTAAGTTTTGAATATCATGAGGTGCTAGACTGCACTGTGCGGCTGCAGCAGCAGCAGGAGCACCCCGAACCTGTTACACGCGTGGGGAGCCCCTCGGGCAGCACGGCCCCGCGGCTCTGCGGGCCCGGCAGGAGATGCCCACAGAGCGGCTCTGCGAGGTACCAGCGCTCCGGGCGTCACTGCGAGCCATCTGAGCAGCACACACGTACCTTCCCATGAGTCCAAGGAAAGCAAACTGGGAACACCGAGAGCTACGAGACAAGGAGCGCCGGTGTCATGAGTCCACAGTTACAACCCCGCACAGCCAGAGTATAAATTACTCACGTCCAGCACGGTGATGTCATATGCACACAATCTTTGTAATTCTTAATTCCCTTACTCCCCACACACCCTCTTCCTTCCTCCTGTTCAACAGAGACTGGAAATGCAGCAGCTTTTGCCATCTGCCCGAACACTACGGCCGAGTCACGACTCCATAGTTAGGGAGAAAGGAGCAGCCAGACTTCTCCGCCTCAGCCAGGAGCACCCGGGGGCTCTGCCACGTTCTCCTCTTGCTCCCCGACCCCCTCTGCGAGATCCGGGCAGGGCCGGGC